GCTGCCTTTAAGGCTCTCTTTCTTTGACTTTTGATAATTTGATTATGTTGTTTCCCCTTGAACAACGTGGGGGTTAGGGGCACTGACCACAACCCCCACCCCATGTAGTCAGAAGTCCACATATAACTTTTGACTCCCCCAAAACTTAACTCCTAATAGCCTATTGTTGACCAGAAGCCTTACCAACAACATAAATAGTCAATCAAAACATTTTGTGTTATGTATATTCTATACTGTATTCCTACAATAAAGTAAGCTAGAGAAAATGCTATTAAAATCACCAGGAAGAGAAAATACATTTATATCTGTCCATGTTCATTTAGCTCACTGAGCATACATAAGACCCTTGTTATAAATTCGTCAAGTCAAAGGTCTGCATCTTTTAAAGATTGATTTCTAGAGATTTTGTTCCTTTGAACGAGCCATGTTTTGTTATTTCTATGTCTTGTGATCTTTTGTTGAGATTTGGACATTTGAAAAAGCAGCCACCTCTCCCACTCTTCAGAGACTGGGTTCATGCAGGGAAGACCTTCACTAATCAGCCCAACTTAAAGGCTCATGGTCGTCTCGAATCTTTGCTGGGGCTGCATCTTGCCTGGGACTGCACGTGTGCGTCTGTTCCAGTTCCCCACATACCAACCAACTGCTTTTACGTAGCTTCATTTCCATAAGAGTCTCATTCCTGCCCGTTCCCAGGAGACTTGAATTTCTTTTCTGTTCCTCTGCCTGTGATCGCTTGTCCCCAGACATCCACGAGTCTTCAGAACACCTGTAGTTCTCACCTCCTACCGTGCCCGTGCCTGTGGTCCGCAGCCTCCAGCCTGCCTTCTTTCCAGCAATGTTCTGAGTCAGGCAAGACAAACGAGTCCCCAGGCAAGTAAGAAAGTTACAAGCAAGTTTCATTCTCTACCTTGAGTCCCGAGGGAGAACAGGATTGGGTGGTTTCCTCGCAACAGTGCATGGGCAGGACAGGGACCAGAGGCCAACCAAAAGCCTCAAAATTTCTGACCATTTTGAGTGGCCTTTTCTGTTAGGTGTTTGCTTGGTTCGTGCAGCTTAACTGGTTGCTAGCATTCTCATGAAGCTATTTTTCGTCCATCTATTATTTGGTGTGTCTGGAGTGGGGCAAGGGCCTGAAGCTTCTTACTCTGCCATCCCCCTGAAGACAACTCTCTAATAACTTGTTTAAAATGTAATGTTATTTTGTTTTATGTTACTAATAAGAAATTGGTAGTATAAAGAAAACGAAATCCGAACAGGATAGACTGGAATTACATGAAAAATAAAAGTCTCCATGCCCACTTCTAACATTCCATTCCTACTCACGGCCTTTGCATTTTGAATGCTTCTGCAGGTCCCCCCCCCTTAATTGTAAATAACATAGACATAGTTTCACTTCTTCACTCATCAACTTTGAATCCTACAATCCTACAAATGATTTTATGCAACAACAATTGGAGGCTTGCAATAGACTTCCTTTTCCCTCATTCCAGTTATGGTTTTATTTTTACATTTAATTTTTTTTTTTTTTAAAGTAAGCTCTACATCCAACATGGGCCTCGAACTCACGACCCCAAGATCAAGAGTTGCATGCTTTACCAATGGAGCCAGCCAGGCGCCCCTCATTTGTTTTAGAACTTAATTTTTTCCTAGTTTTATTGAGATATAACTGACATGAAACACTGTTGTTTATAACCGTAAGGGGCAAATACTTGATGCACTCCCAGTACGTACATAAAGGAGATTAGCACTCGTGCTCTCCATGTTTTTCCCTGCCACCATCTTCTGAATGTGGTCAAGTTTTCCAAAATGTCCTTTATGTTCTGTGAAAGTAGTAGTCTTTTATGCTTTGATTTTAAAAGATTTGAATCCTGTGATGATGTACCTATGGGCTCTTGAAGACAGGCAATTATTTGTCACTAAACCTGTATCTCTCAAGTTTTCTTAAATTTCATTCAAAACTTTTAATTGCATGGCTGATGTTGTTCTAGGAGCTTGAGTTACACTTGTCATTAACTCAAAATCATGTCTTAACCTTCGGACAAGTTTTTACTTTATACTAGAATATCAAGAATTATCCTTTTTGCTTTTTGACAGTGTATGTTTTGTCACCGTATTACTGAGATCGTCTCAGTTTCATACCATGGTCTCAGCACGGTGATGTTTTAAAACGCAACTCTTTTCCAGTATCCTCAGCTGTCCAGACCACTTCTCATTTTCTGACCTCTTTTAGAATTTGTTTGGCTTAATGTCCATCTGTCTGCACCCCCAACACTAGAGTGAAAGCTCCCAGAGGCTAAAGGACTTTGTTTTGTTCACTGCTCTATCCCCAGTGTGTAAACAGAGCCTTGGGCACATGATGCTCAAGAAAAAATTTCTGAATGCACAAATCTTAACAGCTATTAAATGGTACCTATTTAATTACGGTTCTTAGAACCAGTTCTCCTAAAATCTTCCCACTATTCTCATTTGGATAGATTGCCGTCTGCGTCTGCTTCAGATGTCAAAGTCCTGAGATACCTTTCAATCATACTACTTCATGTTCTGCTGGTTCTTGCAGAGCATACTCTCCAGTAGGTATTTTCGGAAAGGGTGGTGGCAAAGTTTCTGACTGCTTGCTTGCCTGTTCGTCTTTATTTTGCCACCTCACCCTCCTCGACAGTTTGGCTCTAGATAGAATACACTCGTTCAAAATAATTGTGTCTCCCCAGTATGAGTAAGGTGCTCCATTATCTTCTAGAGCTCACTGTTGCTACTCAGAAATCTGATAATCCTCAGAAGAAATAATCAGAGAAATAATTTCCCAAACCTGGATACAAGTCTTCCGAACAAAAGGTTTATTGAACAGGCTGTGAAGTGGGAAAGTATAAATGATAAAGTTTTTTGAAATCTCAAAACACAAAGCTTGAAGAGAGCATTTCTTTTTGATATTCCCTCCCCTTCAGAGCATTTTCCTCGCACAGGTTGAAGCACTGGAATCCTCCATTTCCTTTAACTTCTCATCCCTCAGATGACCTCGCAGGCTGGTTTTTTTGAAATGTCAGGTTAGTCTCCTTGAGGAGTATCAGACTGCTAACTCCTGAAGGTGATGGTATCAGGAGGCTGAGGTGACCGGGAGGTGTGTGACAGGGTCATGAGGGTGTCACTCACGAAGAGATGCCCTATGAGGAGATTCCTGGCCCCTTCAGCACATGAAGATCTGGGGAGTCTGCAGCCTGGAAGGGGCCCCTCATGTGATGACCACACTGGCTACCTGATCGTGGACTTCCAGCCTCCAGAACTAGGAGAAGTCAACTTCTCCTAGTCTGGTGTATTTTGCCACAAGAGCCCCAAAAAAGACACTATCCAAGCAGCAAAAATTAGATATAAGCAAAACCTGCAGAAATTTGTGAAAAACCCAAAAATTACATTGTTTGGAATTTGGAATCTGGGTGGCTGTGCTCAAAGCAGCAACGATGATTCTTACCTCTTGTCTGTGCTGTTCCTGAACAGGGAAACAATGATAAAGATACCCAGAAACTGCAACAAAAATGTCTGTGGGCCGTGCCTGAGCGGTCTGCTGAACACAGTCGGGGTCTGATGTAAAGAAAGAATCAGCCGGCTCCAAAACCTGAAAGGCCCAGACGTCTAAAGGATAGATGCACTGAGGCAGCTGCAATTAATAAAAAGGTGACCAGGTGAAGCTCTGAGGATTTTTAAAGAATAATCTTACTTGCCGTTCCTTGAAAGGACCAAACCCCCAAATTTTTAAAGACCCTTGCTTGGGGGGGTCCTTTATGTGCCCCCAAAGCAGCGATCAGTGCGTTTTTCGATCTAAAGCTTCCCCCACCCCCCGTGAACTGTAAAGGCTTCCGTGGAGCATGGGTTGGAGTTGGCCAGTGTCTTCGCTCTGCTGCCGTCACCTTCCTGTCCGACTAGCATCACCCAGCGTTCCGTGCCAGGACCGCACCCCCTCCCCGCTGCTTGTGAGGCTTCAGAGCAAACATCTGGCTCTCCTTATTCTGGTAGGAACTTCTTTCCTTTGGGCATCAAGGGGCAGATAGAAACGGTTGAGACTGGGGGATGAGGGATGGGGTCCCAAGCAGCCCAGAGGCTGTAGCTACCTGGTGGAAAGCACCGAAAACCTCATAAAAATGAAAAGTGAATGTAAAGTCACATCAACAGGAGTTGTTACTGGAGACAGTAAACCGAAGGTAACATTTCAATTGTTTTCTTTGCAGTGTGCTCAAAGCATATTTTAAGCAGAGGGTAAATAATTTCCTTCCTGTCGGTTTTGTAGATTTTTGCATTTCCACGAGTTTTAGCAAATTCCCAACTATCTCTCTAAAGCACAAAAAGGATAAATCTATAAAAACAGATAAACTTATGAACCCTTGCACCTTTTATTCATGTCCTTTGAACACGTGCTCAAAATAGAATTTCTGATAAACCACCTTCAGTTTCTTCAGGTACTTTAATTAGGATGCCTTATTGTTTCTATTTTATCAATAGTGGAAAGAACTTCATCTTAACCCAATTACCTCAGAGTCTTAGGCCATGAAATGAGGACAAAAGTTAAGAAAATTTCTTGAAATATTATTTTTCTCACTGGCATTTCTACTTTAGAACCAACCAACCTTGGCACATTTCATGATACAGCCAAACCTAACGGACCTATGCACAAGGTCCAACACAGTGAGGAGTTTCTAACTAACTGGATGTATTTGGTGTGTATATACGTAGTCTTTCTCAACTGTGATGTTTGGGGATTTGGGGGGGGGGGGTGCTGTCCTCTGCACCACAGATGGTTAGCAGTCCCCCTTTCCTCAAATTGTGACAACCCCAACTGTCACCTGCCTGCAAACTTGCTGTCATGTGGGAAATGGTCCATGATTGCCCAATACAGTAGCTTACAGCTTTTAAAAAATGATGGTTTGTGCATGACAGTAATCTTAAAAATACAAGCATACTTAAAAATATGCTCTAAGTGAATTCTAGTTCAAAGGAAAAACCAAACCAGGATGGAAAGAAAACATTTATTCAATCAAAATCAATACTTTCTTTTAATATCTACAAGCCAACACTGAATGAACACAATGTACAAAAAAAGTATGCTTATATTATAAAAATATGTCAATTTTATCTTCTGGGTGCTGAGCAGAAGTCATTTTAAACAAAATCAAGGCAAACTTGCTCTCTATAATGAAACTGCTATAATTTAATAACAAAAGTGAAAGCTAATATATACTCACAAAATATCTTTAAAGGCGAGATAATGCTGCATTGGAAATGCTGAATCCAATCACCATAGTGAACTTTTCTTATTGGCACCACTTCACGCCTACATCATGGGAAAGCACCTCTTTTATAGAATGCAGATCACTAACAGAATCCAGGGCATTGGTTAAACCTTCATTCAGTTTTCCGTGCTAATTGTTAGCATGTAGTACTAACAGTCAATCCTATTTATTTAGATTCAATTTTAAAATGAGACACATGGCCCAAGAGTTACAATCTGCGGATGATGTGGGGAAACTGCCACCCTTCACACTCTTCAAAAGCCTCCCTAAAAAATGTGTCCAAGGTTAGTATATTAAAATTTTTTGTCATTTCTTCTTGCATTTATTGGCACCTTCCTTGGCATCTGTTCTTGCACACAGTGTGGCTACTGTAGGTCAGTTACACGCTCTTACCATGGAGGTACGCTCCAGTACTCACTGGAGTATTTGGTCCACACAGAAGTAAAATCAAGTGAGTTCAAGAAAAAGGAGCAGGGCTCTCTGTATTGTGAATCCAGGAGTTATAGGACAAGTATGAAAGTTCTGCTAATTTTAAAAGTCAAAACAGACTAAAGGGCATCACTATGGACAAGGCCCAGAAAATCCAATCTGTCTTGTAAGACCTTGTACAAAGCAGTGTCCCTGGCAGGACACAGACTCTGGCTGAAAAAAAACGACATGGGTCCTCAGCAAATCCCAATCCCAGAACGCAGTATCCACACAGTAAATTAAACTGCAAACTGCCTGTTTTTCAATTACTAAGCATGAATATTTCCTCGACAGATTCTCTCTGGGACTGACACCTATGAAGCCTCCAACTGTAGGAATACAAGCACTCTATTCGGAAGCACTACTCTCCTGGTTTGCCTATATAAGCTATTTATCCAGTTACCTGGTTCGTAAGAACCTGGGACTAAGATGCAAAGAAAAGAATTATTCACCAAATTTCTTAGCTGTCTACATTTTCATCTAAGTCCCACTTTTCATCTAAGTCCCATTTGCTGCATAAAATATTAATCCTAAATGTAGTTAGGACTGTATTGGACAGAGGATTTAAACATTTTAATGAGAATACATACACCACGCCCTCAGAGAGAAGGGAAAGTACTTACAGAAATATCTGAAATACACATAATTTATGAAGAATAAACATTTTGGAGCCTGAGCAATGGTTTCTCACCAATGTCCTAACAAATCACCATACAGATTTTCACTGGCAACGATTCAGCCAAGTCATTATATTGCTCTGGGTTAACTTCCACGGCCCCAAAACAGGTCTGAATATGGAAAGGCCAATGACTCTGCAGTGAGTAGTACCGGCCAGGAGTTAAGTTAGTGGAAACACATGGATCCCATCATATTAAAATAACAAGTAAAAACAGAATGAGTACACAATGAGACTGGATGAGGGCATCACCACAACACTCTGATACACAACCACACCTGTTCACAAATACAGGTCCTCACTCTCAGAATAAATATATTGAACATTTACAACCAAATGAACACCTTATGAATGCCAGATTTTAGTTCTAAAATAAGCTACAGGTCACCTTTGTGTGTGTGAAACTGACGTGACTCGGTGCCACAGCTAATCCCTCTCTAACGGCAGCAAAGAAACACTCATTTCTGGCCTCCCATGGGCTCCCAGACAAAGCAACTTCATAAAGCATGCGGATATTGATTCTGCTCAAGTTTCAAACGAATAAAAATGATCATTGTGCTTGTGGATGTCCTACCTTCCAAAATATACAAACGGTGACAAATTAACAAAAGCAGGTCCTACCTTACCAACAAACTCATAAGGCAGAGGGCTGGAGATGGAAATAGAAACATTTAAAATGGGAGAAAAATGCAAAATAGTGCGAGCATTCACAAAAGAGACCATACTATCAGATCCATATAATTGATAAAAATGAAGCCACGATTCAAAGTCTGTGAGTCCAAAGGCATGCATGCCAGTCGAAGGAAATGCAGGGTTCATCTGACGACAGCTTCTGCAGAGCAGAACAAGAACGTCTCACTGGAGGAATCACAACAGGGTGAACAAGATGCCATCACACTTCTTGTTTGTATTGGAAAAGGAATCACAACAACAAATTAAAGAGTGAAAAGAGAAAACAAATTCACAATGACCTATAAAACCAAAAGAAAAATCCAAATTATTTTTACACTTTAAGTTGTCTTTATTTAATTTGTAAAGTTTTCAAAGATTTATCAATAATGCAGTCTAAAAAACATAAAGGTACTTCACCACACGACATTCCCCAAAGTACCAATACTCAAAATAGTAATTTCATTCACGTTTAAAGAATGAAAGCCTCCTCCCCACATGGTTGTCTTACAGCACTGTGTTCTTCGTAAGAAAAAGAGCAACCGAAAACTATTCAAAGTGCCTACAACCATCCCGTGAAATACTGAGCAGGGTAAAATATGTTTGCCTTTTCCAGTGTATGACCCAGGTACTCACGGGAGCCAGGATTCGGGGCTATCCAGCCTTCGTATCCACAAGCTGCATCTGCACGCTGGCAGACATCCCACCCCCGTAGCCCCCCTTGGACTGCATCTGGTTCTGAATGGAGCTAACCTAAAATAAGACAAAAACAGAACCAAGTCAAGAACTAGGGACAAGACAACTCCCTGATTCTGGCCCTCAATGTTTTAGCTAAGCAGTTTTGAGAAGGATACTTTCTATAGAAAAAAAAATTCTCTTTTTACAGACTTAAATTTCTGATCGCCCTTAGGGAAATCGTGAGGCTACTAAAAACACTTCAGCCCTCAACTCCCTCTCCCCACTTAGCAGTAACAAAATACCTGTTTTGTAATTCACAATGTACTTGGTAACATTTCAAAAACAGAAGTATACAGATCAACTCCAGTTCTTGATCACCTCCATTACTTAGAATCAAACAAAAATAAATACAAATGAAATTGGACCAGCCAAAGATAAATTTTTAAAGTCCCATGTGATAAAATTTACATACCTGATACAGCCTTAAAGAATCAAAAGACTTGGAGGGTAGTCCAAATTTAGTCATTGTAACTCTGGGTTAAGTATTTATCCTCTCTAAAGATCTGTAAAACAGTTAACGTGATAATCTCTCCTCCCCACCAAACAGGGCTATTTTCCGATGGGCTGTAAGGTTCTTCTCTTACTTGGTGGAAACAGGCAAATTAACTTATCGGCAAGCTAAGAAGTGCCCTTAGTGGACCAACATTATTCCAATCTTAGTTCATACCAACTAGAAGCAGATTGTAAGTAGACAATCAGGCTAGAATGCTAGAAAACGGGGCTGTGACAAGGTGCTGGAGGTGCTGACCTAACAATGCTGAGTCAGAGCAGAGGCAAGCTGCTCAACGGGTCCCTCAGCTGTCCATGGTTCCCTGGGGGCAGGGGCTGGGAACAACATCCATTACTTAATCTACTTAAATACTCACGGAGCACTTGATAGAAAATATGACATGGGAGGTGTTTTCAATGGTGATCCTGAGTCAGTACGGTTAAGCAAAGTAGGTAAGGTTTGCCTATTTTCTGAGCAAGGTAGGTTTAAATATATTCTAACAGAAAAGCAAAATACAAAATGCATAGCTTCTTTAAATCCAGAAGGGTTTCACTGACAACATCTTACGTGGAACATCTCACTCTAGTGATATCACATGTGTTCTGGCCTTAGCTATATTCACATTACTCAAATGACTACTTCAGTTAAAAGTATTAAAAAACACCTGAAATCTATAGGCCTATTTATTTTCAGCAACCTTGCTCAGTCTGAGAAGGCTACAAGCATAAGCTATCAGTTCAAATTCATTTCCTGTTCCTTTCAGGTAACCTGTTTTGTGGCACAAACTTGATTTTACCCAGATACCAAAAATTTCCCACCTAACATGTTACCTTTTCTAGATATATCAGGGCTATTTATAAAAAGTAACATTTTTGTGTTTTTACATAGTGCATTCATAATGTCATGCTGATACTAAGCAAGAAAAAAACTGGTTTTCCTCCAAAAGTCAATGGCTCAATTTCAAACTATAGAATTTGGATTTTCTAATGGATTACTTTTGACTGTGTATATATTATATTTTAACACAATAAGGCTATTACTAAAAGAGTCATGGGATCCTTTTCTAGTAAGAAGTTAATATGAAAGGTAATTTGGGAAGAACAGTGTGTTTACAGGAAAAGAGAAACTCCCAAGTCATCTGCCCGTTCAGGAATCCAGTGTGGCAAGGCTGTCCCATCTGCATCGAGCCAGGTACCTCATACAAGGGGCTCAGCTCTTAGGACAGACACTTAAGGCAAGCTACTTCTGTGGATAAACAACATTTAGGTTTTGTCTCACTCTGTGCAATACTATTACTGCACAGAAGAGGAGTTCTCTCACCAAATCAGACTCATACCAGTTACATCTCTCCACTCATGTAACTTGCAGGGAACGCGGGGATCACGTAACACTGAACCTAACGCAAGTGCCTCAAGCAGCACCCTGGAGACATGGGTGAGTCAGAGGCTGCGCGTCACCGCACAAACAGAAAACCTATCAGAGACGCACTGGGTTCTAATGAGCTCAAACACTTCATAAAAACACCTATTCCGTAAGCCGAGCAGGCTGCCTGGACTCGGCAGGTAGATCTACTAACAGCGGAGGGCCTGTCTGGATCCAGCTCAGCTGAAGACGCAAACGTGGATGCCCTGCAAGAGACCGTCCTCCAGTCCTAGCTAAACTGATGGCAATAAGAGTCCCCTACATCCATGAAGGGCTCCTTGTGCAGACAAAACGCCAAATAGGAATTTTAAAAGAAATCCTGAAATGTATGTGAAACAGTATTTAAAAAGTTAAATACCAAAAACTAAAAATTTAATTCATTCTGGAGTTTTTAAAAAAACGTGAAATGGGGAAGAACACATTTGTTGAATTAAAATTCATCACATATAATAAATTTGAAGCCATTCGCTCTACTTGTATGTATTATAATAACCCTATTAACAAAAGTCATAGGTTCTCATTTGCTCTTTTCATTTCATGCTGATCCAGGAAACAAAGCTACTGAATTGTATTTTGACAGCAACCTGACACCTCTTGCATTTCCACAAAAGCAGTGGAACAAAACAAAGTACTTTTCCTACAGATTTAAAGCAAACAAGCGGTTTCCTTTCAGGAAGCTACACATGTTATTCCTCTGCTTACCTAGTAACTGATGTGACAAACTTCTCTGCCGTATCCAGGATATCCATCTACCTATTTTAAAACTCTCTGCTCTCTTGTTAAGTCTTTTGTTAATTCTGTCCAGTAAATAAGTATACAATGGATAATTCTGTATTCTATATAAAAGCCTTACTGACTTTCTGGTTCTAAACGCTTTAGAGATCATTTAGACACATCTGTTTACTTTAGATTTGGGGGAAAGAGGCTCCCGCTACATGGTGGCTTACTACTTTAGGGCAAAAATGAGGCAGAGCCCTGACACCCTCACTTGTCACTGCTTCTATTATAGCGCACTGTGTTGTTAGATGAAAATTAAGGAGTAAACGAGTTCAAGGGAGTAAATCTAAAGTGTGTTTTGGAATTCACTGAGATCTCTATAAAAGAGCAAATACACACAAGTATTTACATTAGTTATGAATAAATCACATTCTAATATCAAGAGAAGGCTAGTCTTTTATAAGGTAAATGCAATAAACATGTTTGCGGAAGGCAACTTAATGAATTTGAGAGAAAAGAAATTAAATATTACTAACAGGCTGACATCCACATCCCTTTTCAAGGAGACAGGACAGCCAAAGGGCTATTAGCTATCATTCTAAACTCAACACCTTTTAAGTATTTTTTCAGGAGAAAGGTAGAAATATATGCATAGTTTAGCAAATTAGAGGAGAGAGTAATTTCTCATTGCTCATTTTCTTCTACGTTCATGTTATGTATTTATATTCAGTGTCTACAAATTCACTGAGCACTGTATAATCTTTAAGAATGTATGTACCTGTCATACAGGCGACATAGGTCTATGCCCCAAGACCCCATCTGCATCTTCCACCAACACACTTACTGAATTCATTCCACTGAATAGGTCTCCCGATCCTACATGAGCCGTGTGCACAAAATTCGTTGGCTCTCCAATCATACTTCGGTCAATCCGCCGGCGCCTTTTCTAAAATACAGGGAACAATGTGTTGAGAAATGATTTTATTAGCAACATACTTACTCTGTTGGATTTATTTACTACGGATGAATGATTTTAATGACCATAATATGATTTCCCCAGGATATCAGGATCCCGACATCTTGGGGCTGTCAGGATTACCTCAAGAGAGGTATATGCACACACACCCACAAAATGATTGGTAAAGCAAAACAACAGTTATTGTTTAGAACTGAAAATACATTATTTGGCCTAGCTCTGGCTACTGACTTATTTGTATAATAACTATTTAGGTTTTATTGTTTTAAAAAAAAATAACTAAAATTATCACCACTGACCCTTATTGTTAGCAAGGAATACAGTGTGATTTGAGTACAGCACTCTTGATGTTAACATCACTTTCTAGGTTTCATCATTAACAAACTGGCATTAGGGACGCCTGGGTGGCTCAGCTGGTTAAGCGTCTGCCTTCGGCTCTGCTCATGGTCCCAGGGTCCTGGGATCGAGCCCCACATCGGGCTCCCGACTCAGTGGGGAGCCCCTCAACCCCTGCTTGTGTTCCCTCTCTAGCTGTCAAATAAATAAAATCTTAAAAAAAAAAAACAAACCTGACATTTTGATGGTTTTTACTTAGATTACACCCCCACAACCATTCCACCCCAGAATGAATCACCTGCTCTGTTTGGAGGAAATGTGGTCCCAATCCGTTCACTCTTCTCTGGTCTGAGCTGGCTGGGCGTGAAACCCTACCCAAACTCAGTCTACTAGGCTGGGGCTTAGCGACCCCTCCTCATTTCTGACAACCACCTCTTACAGGGTACGGAGTAACTTCTGCTACCAGCTGTAATCCTTGCCTCACCAATATGCCCATTCACCTCATTAGCGGGAGTTCCTTACCCTGCTGTTTTACTGATCATGAGATCCTTCCAGGGACAAAGGTTATCTTCAGTCAGTCCCACGTTTTCCATGACCCCTTGGATACTGTGAGCTAGCGGAGAGGAACACACTGCACTGCTGGCTTAGTGTCCTAACACCAGTGCTGCTTCTCCCCCTTTACTTCCCTTTGAACAATATACTGTTGTCTCCCACTACTGAAATGCTGGTGTAATCCTGATAAATCCTAAAAACTTACCAAGACAGACCCAAGTGACAGCACCTCAGGATTAAAACACAATTTTCTACAAAGCCACCAAAATGGGGAGTTCATACATTAATTTCAGAAGCCAACATACATTGTTTTACCGTCCTCTAGCTTTTCCGGCTGCCATTCAGGATCCCAAAAGAAGCCCGAGTTTTTCCTTAGAAATATTTATGTTCATCCTCACAGCCCAACGACAGACAGTGGGCTATCTCCAAGTTCATTGGTTTCTCCATCCAGTGCGTCTATCTGAACACAGGTTTTACTGTATCTTGGAGAAGTTTTCTTCTCTTATGTTTTTATAATGCCGCTCGTGTTCCTTTCTGCAATTTGTTTCACTGTTAGATGAACAGTGGATTATATTTGTGTGTGTGTGTGTGTATAATCTTCCAATTTTCTGGTATTTTTATCCAATATTTTTATTTCTCTTATAGTTTTGCTATATTGAAAACTAACTTTACTTGATCATCCTCAGGAATCCACAAATTTTTTTCTTACAGACCAAGACAGTAAATAGGCTATTCCATGTGTCGTAGCTTCAACTCCACTATGGTCCTTGGGCCACAGAAGTCGCTATGGACAAATGCATAAACAAAGCAAGGGTAGCTCCATTCCAGTGAACACTTACTCATGGAAACACGGAGCAGGCTAGATTTGGCCCACAAGCAGTAGTTTGGAGACCCCAGCTCTAGAAAAGTTTTTTCAGTAGCAGCTACATACTATTTTTCAACTACAGTTATTTTTTTTCAGAAGCTCTGTTATGAAATGACATCACCGCAGTATTTTTTCATCTTTTGAGTATTTGTATTACAGGTTTTCATTTTCCCTCTCAAAATGCTTGACTGTATGAATTACAGTCTGTAACACTAACAGCAAAATACTCTCATTCATTTACTTGAAGCCCCTTTTTCAAGGGTTGATAAGAAATTCAATCACTCGGGGGCGCCTGGGTGGCTCAGTCGTTAGGCATCTGCCTTCGGCTCAGGTCACGATCCCAGGGTCCTGGGATCGAGCCCCGCATCGGGCTCCCTGCTCCGCGGGAAGCCTGCTTCTCCCTCTCCCACTCCCCCTGCTTGTGTTCCCTCTCTCGCTGTCTCTGTGTCAAATAAATAAATCTTAAAAAAAAAAATTAAAAATATTCAATCATTCGTTTGGGGCCTTGCTCCCTAATTATAGAAAAATTTCAGGTTCAGAAGGTGTCAGTGAACCAAGAGAGGATCCAGAACCTTTGTCTGTTTTCCAGTTTTTCTGTTTGTCAGCACAAGGCACGGACTTCTGCCTTCATCTCGTATGTTGTCACTTCAGGTGCTCTAAAGGTACCTCAGACTCCGTGCCCCTCAGCACCGACTCAAAACCCACAGCATCCTTGGACTGGGGACACCCATACCAGCAACGCACTGGTTCCCCCAGACTCTGTTTATCTATTTCTACCCAGTCCATTCAACACACTTCCCTTCACACTGCTCTCTTCTAGGATAACACAGCACAGATGAGCTGTAAGAGGCAAAGCTGCCTTCTCTTTTAGAGGATTAAGGTAAGGAAAGAAGATGCTAATAGCACTTTTGCGCCTTTTTTCTTCCTGGCTATACTGTTCCATTCCACTGAATCTGCTTTGATAGAAAGTTGTGGGTCCAGGCACATCTAAATTATCTTCACCATCAAAAGATAATTTTCTCAATACCTGGGCCAAATTGTTGGGGTTTCTTCCCCAGTGAGCCCCTTGACTGACAGTTAAACAGAAAGACTTCTAGCTTCTTGGCACCCTCCACACAGCAGGAAAGGGTGGATGGCTCCAGTTGAAGAAAAAGGCTAGCAGTGACGTTCCAGGGGATAATGGCATCCATAGGCCTGAAGACTTTTCCTCCTCAGGCCTTGTGCAATCCACTTACAGGTGCAACAGCTCCTGATGGTGGAGGGTGCCACATGGCTCAGCCAGAAGGCCCTCTCAAACAGGTTAAGGGATGGGCACATTTCAGAGAGTAAGATCTATTCCACGACACTGGGAGTCTTGACCATCCCTTGCCCTGTGAACACATAGGAGCAACTTCTCAAGTTCTATCTTTGTAATTTCCTCTGGACGGGTGTGTTCAGGGCTTAGCAAAAGGCTACACTTGGCCCACATCTCCTCATTAAGTGATTTATTCTAACAACTGAATTACTGAAGGAAAATGTTGGGGGCGAGGAATCACCATGGGGCACTCAGGCCACCACCCAACTCCCCAGAAACGTTTCCTGAAAGGAATTCATGAATGGATCAGGTGGTTAATCAAAATCAAAGACTGTAACAAACATTCTGAATACTGAGGAAGGATGTTTCACAGAGACTACTCTCATACTGAAGGGCAGAGGACAGATAATTTGTAAATCTGAGAACAGTGAATACATTTTCACTTCAACTTTACTGAGCCCAGAGTCAGGCTTTCCCCTTTCACCTTGTAAGGTTTCTTCATGCTATTAATCTGACACTGATGTAAGGTACAGAGGTTGAAGCTTTCAGTCCTTCCCTCCCTAATGACAAGACAGGTTGTTTTTTTGTTTTGTTTTGCTTTTTAAAGATTTGAGAGAGAGAGAGAGAGAGAAGGAAAATGAACAGGGGAAGAGGCAGGGAGCCCGACGTGGGACTCGATCCCAGGACCCCGAGATCAGGACCCCAGCGGAAGGCAGATGCTTAACGACTGAGCCCGGGCGCCCCGTGACAAGCGGGTTTCAGAGGCCCGTCCAGGCCAGTCCACAACAGCCACAGCTTGCACGCAGGCTGCAGGAGCCAGACAGGCCATGACAGTAACGCCGGGGGGAAGAGGTTACTTGGATTCAACTACAGGCGCTGAGGTGGAAAGAACTAGGTAGATGTAATTCAGCGGGGAAAATCAATAGCATTTGGTTGTTGCCTGGATGTGAGAAGGGAGCGGCAGAAGTTAAGAAAATGCACAGATTTCCCATCTGAGAGGAATGTACACAATTCACAGGAGCAGGTAACACTGGAAGAGGGGGCAGGCTTTAGGAAGAAGATGAAAGAGGTGAAGACGCACTGAACTTGAGGTATGTCTGAGACATCCAAGTGAAGTTATCAAGAGGGCGAGCTGGATACACGGACGTAGGATTCTGACAGAGGCTAAACTAGACAGAAGAAATCAAGTCTCACCAGCACAATAAAGAAGTGCACAGAGGAACCCTAAGGTGGGGTGGAGAAAACTAAGCCGTCAAAGGAGGCTAAAGAGAAAATGCCTGGAGGGGTTAGGCAAACACAGCTGAAAGTGGGTGAGAGGTCAGATAAAGACCAAAGGAGTGCCTGTGGGGGGGGTGGTGGAGGACTTCTGAGGGGACAGACGAGTGTGCAAGAGGCAGGGAATGGAGTATCGAACCCAAACAACTGGAGACAGTCTGGCCGTCTGGACAGGGTCAAGAAAGAATGGGCTGAGCTGAAAGAGGAGGAGAAGAGGACTGAATTTTTGCCTTCAAAAGATGAGAAAGACGATTTAAGCTTAATTTCTGATAAGATCCAGTGAAAGAGTCTAAAAGTAGAGAAAAATCATCATCACCATGGTAATATTCCAGGGAGGGTAAGAGGAACAGATCCAGACACAGGATGACATGTTCTTTGCATTTGTATTATAACATTCTTAACCTAGATGCTAATAATTACCTATCTCAAAATACAAAAATGTACTACTTTTCAGTCACTACGGACACTTAAAGAATACGACACTTCTGTGGTGTGCTGTATTAAGAATACAAGACAGAGACAAGATTTAAATCACGGGCAAACAAGGGGAATTCCAGAGCTGGGCCTCTGCAAAGAAAAACAGGAAATGGTGCACTCGCTCTGATGCGTATTAACTGTTGTCAGTAGCAGAGTCATCGTTTTTCCTGG